GGATAAATTGCGAAAGCCAGGACTTGAACTCAAGACCTTAGGCCCTGATACCATGTTAAGCTTCATGCACTAAACCAACGCAACCAAAAGTCCGAACTGATTAAAAGGGCTAGGCAATCCACATACACACTTCAACGTTTGTGACTGCCATGTATGTTGTCCTGGATATCGGCTTCAATTCTTCAGCTGCCCCTATTTACTGTTTAATTTTACATTAATATGGTGCATCTTACCTCGGTTGATATAGTGAAAAGGTTTTGAAGTTGTACTTGGACCTGTCAATATAATCCCCTCATATCCCTGGTCTGCAGGTCTAATCTTTTCCATTGTTCTCCGTTAACTCTTGTTATCTCAAGTCTATAGCATGTTGGGTCCATAATCATATACAACCATTTTATCTCCATCCTTGCCACTGCTACGAAAAGCAAGGACTAAGAATGTACTCTTACAGGAATTGTTTTCTTATTCTGGTATTCACTTCTGCGGTCAATGTAACACTTTTATGCATATGAATGTACTCTTACAGGAATATCAAAGTATCAAATTTGCTAATTGACGTTAATGGTGTTGTTAAATTGGCCGACTTTGGAACGGCTAAGCATGTGAGTGCATCCTTACAAAGTTTAGTAGCATCTTTATATTGTACTGTATTGTGTACTCCAACTGTTGCTAGACAAACTTAAACTTAAAACAGTTGGAAACATTTTCTATATATCCTCCCTTATGTAGTATTGATACTATTGTCACTTGTTACCAGTTAAGCACTGCAGCCCCTAATCTTTCATTGAAGGGAGCAACATACTGGATGGCTCCAGAGGTACGCATAGATATTTATTGTATTACTACATTCTCGTGTTATCAACTCTAAATATCATATTACGCCTTAGAGCTTTAAAGTTGAAGTCCATGCGGGTGTTATTTTCCCACTCTTTGTAAAAATTATACTTTTCTGTACACGGGTCATCAGGATCATTTTATCTTCATGTGGATTGCAATTATCCGACTTCCTGCTTTGCGGCCTCGTAATATTTAATGCCTTGCAAAGAAAAGGTACATTTTACAAAGCATGTGGCTATTACATTGGCTGGTACAGTGTCCAACACAGTTTGTATAACAATGAAACAAGATCTGTTTTTCACTTGATGTGACTAGGGGTTTTATTCCTTAATAAGAACAGTTTAAAGCGAAAATACCCAATGGATCCTGGTTCTAGGCGCGCCCCCCTAAGATTATTTTTAAAAAATAGCAAAAAGTCAAACGATTCTGAATTTCTTTTGTAACGAACATGGGCTAGTGTCATACTCACGTGTAAAGTTCCGCAAAGGAACGACTCCCGTGGTCTTCTGTGTGAAAAAAATCCGATCTATATAGAAGTTACTATTCAAGGTTTTTTAAGTTGCGAATTTGTTCTTTTCAAAAGAACACTGAAGTCATTTCTTTGCGAAACTTCAAACGTGAGTACAAGTACTCACTCGACCATGTTTGCTACAGGAAAGTTTTAGATTTGTTTGACTTTTTGCTATCTTTTAAAATTAAAATGCTTTAGTTGGTGCGCCTAGACCCAGGTTCCAAAGATCCGCACCGCAGTTAAAGTGGCTACTTTTTGGGAATTAGTCAGGCTTAGTATGACGTATGTATGATCTAAACAACTTCAATGGCATTGTTTTCAGTTTAGGTACTTAGAGCATCTCCGGCCGCGCCCCCAACAGGCCCCCAGGGCGACTTTTTTCGCGTCGGCGCCGAACCCCCTCGGTAGTCGTGCCCCTAGGACGCCGAAATCCGCCGGCTCGGTCCATTTTTGAGCCCGACGATCTCAGGCCGAACCCAGCGCACTGGGGGGCGCTTGGGGGCTCCGACGGAAGGGAAAAGAG